GAATTAACCGAGACGTGCCCCGGGGACCCAGACTCCCACCGACTGTTATTTCCGTGCAGGATGATTTCAGCATTAACAATATTGTTTCTCCCTCCTCCAGAGAGTTCATTATTGCTCCCCTGCAACGCAAGCCCCCTTGCACAAATTACTTATCGATCGGCCAAAAAAAAACGTTAGGCTTCTGGTGGCTGAGGCCCCAGAGGCATGGTCCCCCCGGAGGTGGCCGAGCCTGGGAATCACAGCTCCCAGGATGAGTGGGATGTCCCAGCCTGGGCAGCTTCCCCCCTCACCACCCCTGGTTGCTGGAGGGGGAGGGAAAAGCAGAGCGATGCTGCGGCCACACTGCTGCGGGGCAGAGGCAAAAAGTACCCAGAGAGGGATGTTTTTCTCTCTAGCAGAGCATCCTCTAAGGCGGCTGTTTGAGGGACACCTTATCTGGGCCCCGCACAGGCAAGCACACAAGTCCCCATCCCCCCCCACCCCAGCACCAAGAACAGAAGGTGGCAGCTGAAAGCAAACCCAGCCAAAATCCTGAGCAGTTTTAGCATGGCTTAACCCCCCTGCACCTCCCTACCCCGAGAAGGAGCTCAGGGAGGAGGTGCCCAGCATTAACACTTGACAAGTCCTGCCTCTGCAGCGGTCTGGCTTTTCACCAGCCAGGCTCACCCTTGCACAGAACATCCAGGCTTCAATTTCAACTCATCGCCTTAAAAAATTGGGGCGATCATTAAAAAGCCAGACAATCAGAACACCAAAGTGTTTGCTGGCGGCACAAAGTCATCGTGTTAGAGGCTCAGAAGAAATACATTGCACCTGTCAGAGAGAGGCAGAGGCATGTGCATGATTAAACAGGATATTAAAAACAAGCCCCTAGGAGTAAGAAGACATCCTTCAAGAAGTTCAAGTCACCCCCAGACATGGGAAGTAGCAAATGAGACAAAGCTCTGGCAAGATAAACTTAACACAACAAAGCAAGTCAGGGGAAAAAAAGAGACTCTGTGTTGCTAAAATCAGGAAAAATGACGAACCAATGTGTTCATCAGGAGCAGGATGCGTGTCGGAGTGACTGCGGGGATAACAAATGACGGGGGAAGAGAAGAGGCTGCATAGCAAAGAAATTAATTTTTCTTGACACCTGCATTCATTGTAGGAAGAGGATTAGGGAGCTTTCTCCTGCCGAGACCTTTCCTTTTCGGCACTGATTTCAGGCTGTAGCATCCCTAAGGGTTTGGGACAGTACCCTGACACGGCCCTGGCAGAGCAGCCGCATCGCTCTGGAGTGTCCCTACGATCGGCAGCGAAATCAGCCGTCACGTGCAACCGTGTGCCCAAACCCACCCGGGAGGCGGCAGAAGTCACACTGGTTTTTCTTTCGGAAGCTCTGCGGGGATCTGGGTAACTGCAGATAAGGAAATCAGACATCTGCACCTGGCACGTCGCAGTGTCTACCAGGAGCAGCGTTAGCAACGCGCGGGCAGATGCGGCACACCGGGGCGCAGAGAAAAAGTCACGTCTCCCAGATCCGTCTCAGTTCTCCGCAAGAGCGGCAGCCTATCCCCGAAAGCCTGTGTGGCTTTCGAGAACCCCTCCCCCACCTAATGCTCTTGGCAAAATCTTAATCCACTACGGCATCAGAGGAAGGTCTTTAAAATATTAATAATGGGTTAAAAGAGAAGCAGCAATATTTGGCTTTCGTAAGCGAGACTGCCAGCAGAGTCCAGGGGGGATTTACATGGGGGCTCTGCTGCTCAGCACACGCAAAAAAGGCTTCACAACAAGTCAAACCTGAGATGACAAAGTGTACCTGGGAGGTTTGGCTGTAAAGGATAGCAAAAACAAGAGCAAAGAATCCAGAGGGACCTCCTGCCACTGAGCAGCAAGGTAATAAAATAGCGGAGGAAACGGAGCAGTGCTAAATGACGAAGCAAGGCACCTGAGGAAAAACAACCCCAACTTCAGCTGTGGGATCTGAATTAGCTCCTACCACACCTGTAAGGGACCTGGGTATTAAGAGTTGCAAGAAAACATCAGCTAAGTGCTCAGAGCAGTTGTCGAGAAGACAGTAAAAGCAGCCATCAAACGCTGGGTATTTGGAGGCAAGAGGAGAGAACAAAAGAGAAGGTAATAACTCTGCCACCGAATAATCCCCCAGCACAGCTCGACTGCTGCGTGCAAAGAGGCATCACGGAGCTTGAGAAGAGGCAGAAGATGCGAGGACAAACATCTGGTGTCAGGCACAGGACAACTGACCGGGCCAGGAGGAGCTGGGGGAAGGGGGAGGATGGATGTCTGGCAGTGCCCACATCAGAGGGCAGAGCCCTGCCAGGTCCGGGCAAGCTCCGAGGTGTCACAGCATCTCGATGCTGGTGGGGCAGGGTCACGGCAAGCACTGGCTGCAGTCCCCCTGGACACCCCGCTGTCACGCAAGACCCACCGTTGGCGTCTTCGTAGCTGGGCTGGCCATGCTGCGGAGGGACGGAGGCACCGGCCTCACCGTCCGGGGGGCTCTCACCGCTGTCGAGCTGTCCCACTGGCGGTGGCCATGGCAGGTCTTTAATGACCTTGATTTCAACTGGATGGGGGGAGGGGGGTAGGGTGGTGGGAAAGAGAGAAAGAGAAAGAGAGAAAGAAAGAGCTTAGAAAAAACCATCAGCAACACCAGGCCCATGGAGGAGGAGAGCAGTTACAGAGGGAAAGACCTGAGGACTAAATTCCCAGGAGACCTATGCCAGCTTGGCGATCTTGTCCTCTCACCAGCACCGAGTAGGAACTGGTCTAACTTGGGGCACATTCCCGATGGAGACACCCGGCTCCTCCATCAGCCTTCCCAGCCATTACTCTCTGAGGTGGGGGCAGCCTGTGATCGGCCCTGTCTCACGTGCATATCCAGCCGGGAGACCTCAGCCAATCATCCCATTGCCATCTGTCCTGCCCCTGCATCTGTCTTGCCCCAGGTGCTTTCCACCCACCCCACAGGGTCCACATT